AAAAAAAAAAAAAAAAAAAAAAATTCAAATTTAGTTATTTACTTACACGTAAAAGCGATTGGATCACAAAATAGCGAAACGCTATTTGGGTGTAGCATTGGATACGGTAACTGCTCAAACACTACCGTATTGCTGAAGCGATTTAAAGAATCTGATTTTGCTGCGGCAGCAATCACCGACTGTAGATTATTTGATTGACTACAGTCTACCACCGCTTTAGACTGGGCGTTGTCTGAAGTATCTCGAGAGACCGATGGTACCGCTGAAACTGCTGAAGACTGTGCAGATGAATCCATAAGTTTGTTTTGTGCCACATTGTTTTCATTGGAGAAAGACTTTTGCATATCATCGCATTTTTCAGATTTAGGTATCTTCTGCGATTTTTCAAGCAACTTCCAGCAATCTTTACTGCAGTCGCTTGATGATCCTGACTGAAATATATGTGGCATACGATCGGTACATTTCGACACCTGTCCTTTACTGTCAGAAATTGCAGAATTTTTCTTCACTGTTTTCAGCACCGATGAATCCTCATTTTGGTCTTCTGATGAAAAATACAGCAATGAATTATCACGAACTCCAAGCAGAGCGTCAATTGAACCGAACATCGGTGTAGTAAAAAGAGATTATAAGTTACAGTTACAGCGAGCGAAATCTGAGGACGAAAATGTTGAAGGGATGTAAAAATTCAGCTTCAAACAATATGTTCGCGCTTAACTGAAGCTTTAGGTGTCAATGAGCTAAGAATGACTGAAAATTGTGCAGAAATGATTCTTAAAACTTAAAAACAAAAACCTCTTTTTTTCTTTTTTTTTTCTTGATTCTTCTTCTTCTCTTAGCATTGAGGGTGCCTCTAGAGCATTTTATGAAATTATAATTGATTTTGACGTTTTAATTTGTTTTAGTAGAAGCGTTTATAAGGAAAATCAAGAAGCTTAAAAATGGCCGACATCGGGGTGTTTGTAACAGAATTTAGTAAAAAAAAAATTCTTGCCGAAAAAGCCATAAGTTCGAAATGCTGTTAATCTGTAACTTTTCTATCACCCACGGGAATTCTAAAATGCTGCTGCTTAGAATCTATCAGCTTGTTTGGCGGCCTTTAATCTTTTTATTGACAAGCTCATTCGTCAATTTACATAA